GTGGAGTCTAAATGAGCAAAAAAGCAGAGACAGGACCAATTGTCAAAATCTTGGTGTCGATCATTCGATTTCATCCTGGACACTACAGAAAATGGGCTAAAAGTGTTAAAAACCGAACTTCTCCTTTAAGAAATAGTTCTCCCTCAAGGCATGTCATTATAAATTTAGAAAACAAACTAAACCTAAGTATAAATGAAGTGAATCTGGTGCAACCGAGCCGTAAATCTAAGTGTGTTGAAACCAGTTGGTTTTCTTATGCGAAGGTAACTGTGGGCCAGATTGAGGAAGCACATCTTTAATACAAGATCCTGTGGCGAGCGCTACATTATAGTAGGGCTGCAACTAACGATTATTTTACAAATCAGTTAATTAGTTGGGTATTTTTTTTTATTAATAATCAGATTTTTTACGAAATTATACCAGATGACACTCAAACTTTTCCACTTAAGGAGATCTGGATAGAGCATATTTACAGACAAAACATTTTTTTTTTATCTTAAATGCAAAATGTTTATATATTTTTCTACAATCCTGGTATAAGTATTGCTCTACGTGTGTTAAAGGCATGTTTTACAGTCTCTATACTCAAGTTAACGATTAATCGATTACTAAATTAGTTGGCAATTATATCAATAATCGATTTATCATGAGTAATCTGATCAGTTGTTTTAGCCCTATATCAGAGCACTACGTAGAGATGGGCTCTGCTGCACATGTTTGAGATTGTGTGTGAAAGCTTCCACTTGTGCACTTCTGTACTAGTACAGGATTAAAACCTGAATAACGAATGTTGTTTCAGACGACCTCAGCCAACCACTCATATATGACTCTTAATAATATTAATTGTACTTTAATTAAGATAAGATATTAAACAACATGTGCGTCTATGTAAGTAACAAAGCTGTAGGTTTAATGTGTCTTTTTAGTGTCTCAATAATCCAGAGTTGTGACACTGGCACTTACCAACTTTAGTTTAGCATTTTTTGCAATGAAAATATTAATAAACAGTAGTCTTATGTATGGTTAATTCCAACAGCCAGATTATGACTATTGATAGGTTTAGCTTGTAAACACATGGTTTCAGGAATCAAACAAGTCTGACAACAATTGTTGCACCGAAAAACACAAATCCAGGTTTTGATCAATTGGTGCCTGGTAACGCTGTACTTTTCTCCTGTGAAAAAGTATATAAAAGTAAAAGTAAAAGTATGTATAAAAGTAAATAATTCCTTTCTACTGTTCCCAAATGCTTGCTAAGGTTCATGGACCCACACAAAATAAACCACTCTTAAAGGTATAGAGGAGGATTTTCTCAATTTCTTTAAAAGAACTGCCCTCTCGACTTTAAAAAAAAATGCACATGCACAACACTGTACCTGCTCCCGAGAGGGAACTCCTATTAAACGTGTATGAGAGTTTGCACAAGCCTTTTTCTTCATGTTTTACTACGGATTTCTCCAAATAGAATGCCAAACTTAACCTGTCAAGTAGAAACTTTGCAACAGAAGCATCGGTGGGAAGCCCAACCTGTGCTTTCAGTGTATGCCATTGCATAAAAGAATCTCCCAAAAACACCCCGGTCTTGTTTCTCTCTTCTGAGGACTTTCTCTTCTTCTCAAACACTTTGTGGACACTTTTTCTCTTACAACCCTCGACCATTTTCAAAGAACCGCGGTGAGAAAGGTAAGCTTCAATGAGTTGCTGAAACCGTAGCTAACCACACATATACACCTGAAGGTGCACATGTACGGAAACATATACTTGTGTATATATTATCGTATAGTAGCAATATCAGTATCCGTCAGTACATACCTGTACTGCAGCAATGTTAATTTAGGACAACTTAAGTTGAACTAAATAATGGTGAAATGTTCTCCTAGATAGACATTTTTAATGAAAGATCCTGACAGCATCTAAGGGATTTTATTTTTTCAAACAAAAACAGATACTTTTATTACCTGAAAGGCTTTGATTTACAACACTATAAAACTCTCCATCTAGAAATACTAGCTACCTGAAAGAGCATCCTCAAATTGTAAAGAACTATGTCAGTAATGTTTAGTCCTTTCATCATTTCCATTTGCTATCTAAAATGTGCAACTCAGAGAGAAGGCTGGGAAGAGTCTATTGACATGAGCAGCCTGAAGTTAGTTTGTTATTGGAGATAAAAGCTCACAGATCTGACCAAACACTCATTTTCTCAGATTGGACCTGTTAAATAATAATCCCGACA